CTGTGGCCCATGGTCCCTGAGAACTATCCGAGCTGGCAATGGTCAGACGGACCTGCACAGAGGTATGACCAGGGGTCAGAGCAGGCACTGGCACAGGCCAGCCTAGGAAACATCTATAAGCAGGCTGGGGAACCCTCCTGGGCTCCTGATGGTCAGCTCAGTTCCTTCAAGTATTTCGAGATCAACTGACAAGCACCATCTGCTCAGACGGAAGCACCTGACGTGGCTTCGCACAACCAGCTGCCCGCAGGAGGGTCTCAAAGGCATCTTCACTCTTTCCGTGGTGCCTGTTTGAAAGGCACATCCAACGTGCTGCACGCCTCCCTCCTGGGCACATCACAGAGGCCCTGCAGGATGTGCTCACGTGCCCCAGAGGGGCACTGTGCCAGGAGGCCCTGTCCCACCAGCAGCCAGGCCCCAGAGGAGACTGAGGCCCGATCTGCCTGCTCCTGCTCAGCCTCAACGCCAGAGCGGCCCGGCAAGACCTGCAAACGCTGCCGACAAATCGCGACCTCAAGGACACACAATAGAACCCTACGGAGTAGAAAACAGCCTGCATACTGCTTGAAAAATTTTCAAAGTACAAAAAGTTTTACAGTGGTTTAGTTTGATTGAACTATATAAGCTTTTTCAGGATTGCATTCTTGTATTTTTCTAAAAAGTCTTACATGAAAAAATAAAAGGATAGAAAGTAAACCCTTGATAAGTGCTCCCTTCAGCCCCCGAGACCCCCAAGACCTTCCGCTACTACTTTTGTAACATAAGTATGACCCGGGTCGTACAGTCCATTCTTTGAAGTAATCAAACGCTGCAATCAACTTTATGGAAAAGTAAGCGAGTGCCAAAAACATTAGAAAAATAAACACGTATACCACGAGGCTTCTCACGAGATTTTACACATTGCTGGGAACATCCTCGGGGTCAAGCCTCTGCAGCCACAGGAACATAGCATGGGGGGCCATCGGCCAAGCTCTCGAAAAACCCAAATACCCTTGAATATGATAATCATTAATGGAAACGATATTGGCAGGAAGTTACAAAGTTAAGACTATTACTATTACCACCTTCCAAACTGATGTTCTTTCCTCAAACGTTTTCAGGGAAGGAAAGGTGAGCAGTATAACCCACACGAGAGAATAAATCAGTCATCGCTGCAGGAAGCCATAAGGAAAATGAACTAACGTGGGGAACAGGAGTGTCGTAGGATTCACAGGAGCGCGAGTGGAATTCCCCTCAAGACAGACACCAGTGGTCAATGGCAATTTATTTACTGAAGAAAGCAGCAGGGCTTCAGAGGAAATAACCATGATCCCGGGACGCACAAGCACTTAAATGGCAGGGTGAGAACAGGAACCTGGACCCTGCAGCACACGCTGCTCGAAACCTCTGTCAGTCAGTAGTCAGGGGACAGTAGCCTTGGTGGTCACAAATGGCTCTCCTGCAAAAGGCCAATTCTGGGGGAGAGTGCTCCTTGAGGGGGTGAGGGCAGCACCTCGTTCTACTAAACAGAAGGACTTCTCATCGAAAGGCTCTCCACACAAAAACACCAGAGCTGGCATCACAGGTGAATTTATCCAACAATTTGAGGAAAAAATAATACCAATCCCACATATTACTCTTTTAGAAAATAGAAGAGGAAACACTTCCAAATTCATTTCAGGTCTTCAAAATAACCGCAATTCCAAAACCTGACAGAGACATTAACAGAAAAAGAAGTTATAGACCAACAGCCCTCATGGACTTAAACACATACACCCTAAACAGAACAACAGCGAATTTAAACCAGCAATATGTAAAATGTACGTACGTATATAACAAACCAAGTGACACAACCCGGAATTTCAAGAGTGATTTAAAATTCCAAAATCAATTAATTTATTCCATCACATTTAAAGAATAAAGGAGAAAAATCATTGACTGTGTCAATACATGCAGAAAAATCATTTGATGAAATTCAACAGATGGAACGAGCATTCTCAGTCAGAAAATACACTATGAAACCTGCAAAGGCATTGCCACCCTTACTGCAAGCTCCCCTCCACGGGGGACAAAGCAAGGGTATCTATCCTCTGTCACAATATTCACGGAATGTCACACTAGAAGGTTCTAGACAGCACAATAAAAGAAAAATTAATAAAAGGCATAAAGACAGACTTCATGAATTTTTGTATAGAAAATCATAAGGACTTGCAAAACGACCTGAACACAAACACAGGAATTTAGCCAAGATCACAGAATGTAAGATCCACATACAAAAATCAATTGTTACGTACCAGCAGCAATAATTTAAAAGTTAAAGTTTTTAACTGATTTAAAACACCATCAAGAACGATGTTTTAAGAAATCAACTTTACCAAAGACACTGAAGTTCTCTATGCCGAAAATTACAAAGCGCTGCAGAGGAAAATGAAAGAGAACCCAAACAAATACGGAGATCAATCACAGCCACGAATTCAAACATTCACTGTTAAGGAGATGTCAACCCTCCCAAAATTGACAGGTGGGTTCAATGAACTCCCAATCAAAATCCCAACAAGAATTTTTGCAGAAATTGACACCTTAATTCTAAAAGTAATATGCAAAATTAAGGGACATAGAAGGCAAAACAATCTTAAAAAAAACAAACAAAACGTGCATCTGACAAAGCACTGCGTCCAGAACCACACATCAATGACCAAAAAATCCCAATTTAAAATGGGCGGAAGACTTGAGTGGACAATCACAAGGACAATACAGAAATGGTCAACAAGGTGTTCACCATACGTCATCAGGAAAGTGCAAATTAAAGCTACAATGAGACAATACCTCATGCCACGAGAACGACTAAAATTTTAAAAGCTGGCAGCAAGGAATTAGGGCAAGAGGCTGCAGTGACTGAAACTCTGGCATACTGCTGGAGGGAGCGTTGTAGGACGCGACCTTGGGAAAAGCTGTGGCAACATCCTAAGAAGCTAAACACACATCCGCCATCCAATCCAGTAGTTCTATACCTAGGAATCGGCTCAAGAGAAATGAAAACACACATCCACACAGAGGCTTTAACAAGGACCCACAATGAGGACTGACTTAAGAGGGCACGAGGGAACTTTCCGGCATGGTCTGTACCTGGTTTGGGTGGTGGTTATACAATTGCACGCTTGTGTCAAAACTCATTGAATTGTACGCTTAAAATCTGAATTTCACGATGTAATTTTTACTACAATTTTTTAAAGTGACAAAATATTAAAAATTTAATCCTAAGTAACCATACAGTTTTTGTACTATGAGAGTACATCAAAAAGATCATGGAAAGATTTGCATTATCTTTTAATTCTATTTTTCCACAAATGTTTTGAAGTATTCTCAAACTTTTAAGTGCCCCCCCCAATTAACAATATACACACACACACACATATTATTGGCTGCCCCCCAAGAGTCCATCTCCCACCCTTCCTTCCTCACAGAATGCCTGATTTTAGCCAATACGAAGGGATGACAACCTGACATCCCTACGCCCTCCTGGAGGGTAACTGGGATGAGCCCCGTTCCGAGGACCGTCAACGCCAGGTCCGACCTCCACTCTGCAAATGCCTCTTCACAAGAGAAATCAGCTGCCTCTTACCGAGGCCACTCTTCGGAGGCTCTGTTTTTACAGCTGAACCTGATCTTCACTTGGTTCAGAAAGTTCATAAAGAAGACACTCAAAATCAAGCCTCTTCGCCTGCATTCTAGTCTCAAAATCCATATTGGGCATTTAACCTAACATATCTTACAATGCTCTTTTTTTTTCACTCTTTCTTCCCCAAATTCACTCTAAGGAGTACCTTTACTTTTTTTTTTTCCCCAAAAGAAAAAAAAAAACATAATTTCTATGATTTATTGTACAACTGAACATGCTAAGAGACGAAATGACATTTTCCCCGACAAATTATTTGGTGCCTGTGATTTTCTGAACACTACAGCCAGATGGTTCTCATAGAAACTGAGACGAGTGTACTCTTATAGTTCAAAGGTTTGCTTATTTTTTGGCCTTAAAAAAAGACTATATTGATTGTAACATGCAGCTCTACAGGAAAACTCTCGACAGTGGAGGCGAACGCTGGTATTTATTACTGCTCTTGTTCTCATTATGGCTGCCTCTGACAGGGGTCCATTAAAATCAATTTTTATGTTTCTTATGTATTTTCTTTATCTAATGTTCTCGGCATTGTGTTTATTAGCCAAATAAGACAAACACTGAGCAACGGAGTGGTGGTTTTTCCTCCTTCTGTCAGAAATAACAAGGATTTCAGTTTTAATACAACTCCTAATGATCAATGAACAGAGGAAACCAAATGGTACATTTCAGAGCAAAATATTAAAAAGCACTTTAAATGTTTTATGTTTTTACAATTAGAGAAATATAGTGGGGATCATTCAAAAAAAGAAAGAGACATGTGTCCTCTTAGACATGGCAACACTCTAACATGCTAAAAAGGGACTTTCTTGCCCTTTCTCCTGGCAGGGTTGTCCTCAGCTACACACGTGCCAGCAACCTGCCAACCTCTTTGAGAAGGCACGTGGAGCCCATGATGGAGCATTCAGAACATCAGGACGAAGCTCACCTGGCAGACTCTGGTGAACAGGGAAGGCTGGTCTTGATTTAAAAATCAAGATTAGACCCCCATCTCCCTGTCTCCCAATTTCCAGAGACATCTGTTGAAGAATCAAAATGTTCAATGCTCATAATCAATCAACTCCTCTGTAAATGTATCCATTAATCAAACGTCTTGCAGCGACTAATGAAAGGTTATGTCCCTGTGGTTAACCGGAGCTGGGGGATTCCTGGGCAACAGGCACAGATGCTGAAAAAGACAGAGCAATCACGGCACGCTGCGTGCAGGCAGGTGCTCATGTCTGTGGCTGGCCGCACAAGGCCATGTGCTACCCGTGACCAACGGAAGACAAGCAGTCACCGTGCTGACTGCTTCTGTTGCTCTTAAACACACCACCTATGGGTACCACGCAGGACTCGCACTTACTCAGCTTTGGGGGTCTTCGTGCCAGGGAGCCTTATCCCATGTAGACCTCGCTCACAACCAGATATCTCTATTTTCCCCAGAGGGCTGTCCAGCATTTTGTATTTTATCTCACAGGTCTCGTCCATTCTTCCAAGCACCTAAAGAGAAACCAATTTTGAATCACATGAGAAAGTGCATGTGGAAGACTTGAGTCAGGTATAAAGCACACCAAAGCACCAGTTATTTAAGGCACAAAATATATTCCAAAGCTTTCCCTCCATTTTTGGAATTTAATCATACAATGTGTCATTTTTTACAATACAGTTACTTTGAAGACAGAAAATGACCATAATTACCTAGAGCAGCCAACCGATATTACACTGTCCTTTTATTTCCTTAAATTACTATATCCCTAGTCTTCTCATCTATTTTTAACTAGTGTACAGCTGAAAGAGCTGAACTGGGAAGAGGTCCTTTTAAACAGTACCTAAACCTAACCTAACCTTGCTTAATTAGTCAATTGATAGACAATGAAAACAAGGCAAACCACTCAGTATTCTGAATCAAGTACACTTAAAAATAAGGCATGTATAAGTGAATTGCAGAAATGGAGTGAGATTCAGCTCAGCACTTATGGGGCAGCTGCGTTAGTAGGGGTTCGGGAGAGGTGATGCGATGTTGGAATAAAACACTAATGCTACGGAAAGCATATATATTTAATTACATTCAAAAAAATGTACACATGTACAAAACCTATCCTCTGGAGGTATCCTCCATGTTAACAATTTTGATAGATATTAATTTGGGGCAACACAGTAAGAGCTTAGAAGAAAGAATAGATATATTCAGAGAGGTGATAAGCCAGTAGTGGGGTTTAGACAAACTGATATTTTATAGAAATCACCCTGATTCAGGGGGAGGCAAGAGGATGGTGATTCAGGGCGCGGCCAGCCTGTCCTCCATGGTCACAGCTTCACCTTGAGGCCCGCACCTTCCTTGTGGCCCCCTCTATACCCGGGCTCTTCCCACTCCAACCCAGCCACTGCCTGCATGGCTTCTGCAGAACAACACGTCAACTGTTGGCTACATCAAGGGCTTAGAGCAGGGTCAGCAAATGACAGCCCAAAAGCCAAATCTGGCCTGCACCTGTTTTTGTAAATAAAGTTTTACTGGAACACAACCACGCTTATTTGTGTACACACAGTCTATTGCAGCCTTGTGATACAATGGCAGAGCTGATAGTTGTGAGGGACACAGTGTGGCCCTCAAAAATCTAAAATACTTACTCTCCGGCCCTGACAGCAAAGGTCTGCCAACCTCTTCGAAGACTACTCACACCCCTCCTACTCTGTGCCCTACATGTGGCAGCCCTAAGTCCTCACCCGCAGCCTGCAGATTTGTGACTCTGTGCCTTCAGTGGCACATCCACTCCCTGCCTGTCCACTCTCACCACGCTGCCTGGCATCTCCTGCACCGTAAACATCCACCAGCCCCACCAGCCCCAGTTCTCTTTCTTTCTCTCTGTGTCCCCCTGCTTCTGATACCATACATTGGTTCCCTCATCTGTTTTCCAACAGCCAGAGGAGAGGGGTGCGTTTACATCCCTTCAAGAGGTCAGGCAACGGCCCCCAAATCACCCAAGTGTTCTGTTCAAGCACTGCTCTCAAGACTCAATCATAAACTGCCACACGCCAGGGCCACCCTATTCAACATTCCCTTTCAGTGCTCATGGATGGGGATTTGAAACGGATTCCACTGCAGTGGTCGGGGCATGAATGTGGGACTTGCTCGGAAACCTCAGCCTCCTGCCAGAGAGGCTCTCTGACCACATCAGACTCCTCACACGGCCTGCCTTCAAGGGCATCTACTGCCTACAGGATTAAATACAAGATTCCTGGAAGGGCAAAGAGGTTCCTCTGGAAGGAGCTGCCTGCCTCCATTCCAGTATGTGGGGCAGGGACCAGATAAAGGCAGGGGACGTAGACCGTGGCCTCCTACCCACTGGTCTGTTTGAGAAAGTCACCTAAGCTCTGTCTTCACTTAAACAACTATTTTTATCTGTAGGATATATAATATCTAGATTGCAAAGTCAGCACAATGATTAGAGGGGATATATGTAAAAGACTTGGCATCTTGAAAGGACTCAACAGGATGTGGGATGCTGTTATCTGTGCCAGAACGGACACCATAACCAATGCCCTCTGCCTTTGCTCCTGTCACCCGAAGTACCCTGTCCTCTCCCAAACATCTTATCCAATACCATCAAAATCCTGCCCCTTCTGCAAAAGCGACTGCCACCCCTTCTCCCACTGCCCTGGGAGCCTCCCCTCATTTCTTTGAGCTACAATCAGTAGCCCCCATGCCCCTGCTGGCCCACGCCCCTACTCCTGCAGACATCCCCCTTCATCCCGAGCCCTGCACAGACGCTTCGGGGCAAGGAGCCGGCTGCCCCGAGTTGGTGTCCCTCTGAAGGTGGGCTTATGAGGTATTTGTTGAAACGAATTTTCGGTTCTGCCCACCATCCATGCGCATGTCCATGACAGCATTTCCCAAAGTGTGTTTGCAGAAGACACTGCTCTGAGAACAGGGTTCTGGGGGCAAAGTGAGTAACGTGGACACTTGGTCCCTTCTTGGAAACTCACCCTGCACGTCAGCGTGTTAAAAGGTACAAGCAGGCTTGCAGTAAAGAACCCAATTTACATTTGTTTAACTCTCTCAAGTGCAGTCCACCATGGAACCATGTTTTCTATTCTGTGACCCCTGATGGGGCTGGGCTGAAGGCTGATTCCCAGCAGAGCCAGAGCCAGAGCCAGGAGGCCTGAGCTCAGAGCTCAGATAGGGAACCCGGCAAACCAGGAGCCCCAGCACCAGGCAGCGCTCTTAATGGCAAGCATCAGAAACCACGATCGGCTAATTAAAGCACAAAAGCAATTTACTGAAAGGCTGTTCCATAACTCACAGAACTTCTGGGAAGGCTGGAGACACAGGCTCAGAAAACAGCAGGAACCAGGACTGGCCATAATCCAACCACAGCCAACATCAAGCCTCAGGAAACATCTGTGGGGAGAAGCAGGGACAGCAGACATGGCAGCTGGCACCGTTGCCACTGTTGCCCCTGGAAACAGGATGTGTTGGCCATGGCCACCTTGATCCTCTGCTGCCCTGCCTCTGTGTCACTTGCTTTCGATTCCAGCCCCAGGCAGGAGCCGAGGTCTGGCACAAGGGCCTGGCTGGCATGTGTCTGTGCCCGAGTGGCAGAGTGCAGGGCTGGCCCCAGAAGAAGAGATGTGCACCCAGCAGCACTGCAGACACTCACTGGGGAGCAGCCCAGCCAGGAGGAGTACTGGACGTCACTGTCCTCGCCTCTCCCCACGCCTCCATTTTCTCATCAATAAAATAGGACTCCTATTACTGACTCCACCCACCTCAGCACCGTCCTGTGAGGTAAGTGGAGGTGGCCACGGCCAGGGCTCTGTACACTACTCACCGTGACCGGCTGGGGGCCTGGCGCCCCATCCTGCTCGGGCACACCTGGTCCCTAATCCAGGTATCAGCCAGAGGAGAACATGGCCGCGTGTGCAGAGACAGGCCAGGAAGAAGGGCAGGGCCAGGCTAGGAGGAACTGAGGGGGAAGCCAGCAAGCCAAAGGAGGCACAGGGACTCCCCCACAGGGGAGGGGGCCAAGGCTCAGCCCTGCTGTCACTGAGAAAGGCTGAATGAGAGAGGCCACCAGCCAGGTACACAGTGAGGAAGGGCTCCTAGCTGAACCTGGCATGGCCAAGTGAACTGCCTGACTTGGAATGACAATCTCTGTACCAATTAGCACCTGCACCCAGCAATGCCCAATGACCCCAGCTCCTCCACTTCTGAGCTGGCCAAAGGGACCTTCAAGGTCAGGCACCATCCACCCGAGCACCAGCGAGCACATGGGCCCAGCTTCACGGCCTGAGCCTGAGCAGCCAGGTTTAGCCCCTTGTCCAAGTGCATTAAGAACCAGCTCCCCTGACTATAGCAAGGGCCACCTGAGGCCGCAAGAACACACTGAATTAACCACAAAGCAGGCACAGAGAGGGACAGGGGAGGCTCCACACAAATCACACCAGGAACCCAAAAAGGGCAATGGGTATATAACTGGAATAGTCCATGAGTTCAAAACCTGACTCCTGAATGAGCAACACATTCTACTTCCCAGCCATATCCAATCAGCCAGTCATTTAGTCATTTAAAGTATGAGAAAGTAAATTCCTTAGACTTACAGTTTAAACAGAATCGAAATAAAACCCACCTCATTTCACTGGAACATGACGATTAGCTGGGAGCACCTCACCTAAGACTAAGCCTCAAGCAGATGGATAGCAAAGCTCTTTCTAGATGTGGCCTGCCCAGGCTGTATTTTCACTGGAGCCGCTGGGTTTTTAAGCACATTAGCAGAACTTAGCTAGTCAATGATAATGCACCATAACCCACGGGCTGCTACTTTGACAAAAACAGAAAAGTGGCAATTTTAGCATAATTTTATATCAGTACCGCCAGAAGTGGAATTTGAGACACCACAGAAACCGGCCCACAGGTTTCTTTCCTAGAAACAGAGCACCTAGCACAGAGTCCTTCCACAGGCCAGAGGAAAAGTTAGTCTAATACTGAATCCCAACATGTCACAGATAATGTCTCTCCAGAACAGGTGCTCCAGGCCATTTCGCGTGGTGGGCAGTGTCTGCTGACAAGGAGACCAGGGCTGAACCAGCAGGTGTAGGACAAGTCCCTTGGGCCAGCAGGCGGTCAGAGAGGTGGGGGGACACCTGCCGACTATATGGGGGTGTCAGAGACACCAGGAGTGACTTGCAGAGGCGAGAAATTGGGCAGCAAGAAAAGTGGGGCTTCAACAGTCTGGGACCCAGACTGGTGGGAGGCTTGGCGTGAAAGCCACAATGCCTAGCGCACATAAGCTGGTGGCCATGGCGCCTGGACAGGGGCCCCCAAGAGCTGTGTGGGAACCACAGACCCTCTCCTGACATTGCCATGCTCCGGAGCCCAGTGAGAAAGGTGTCAGGACCACCCACCACTGGCCTTCCACGATGAATCCCCCCACCCCAGCATCATCACCAATTCCTGACAACCACCCAGAGCGGGCAGCTCAGCTGCTGTTGGCCAGGTCCAC